GTGGAGATGAACTAGGCAGTCGCCTAGGCCGCCAAAGTTAAATGGCGTTGAGGAATTTTGAGGCGGGGTGCCAATCGCACACCGATCGTGCGTTTCACTTAGGGTGCCAGTTGCCGGCAGCTCGTCTAGGGCCGCTCCTGGCACGTGAAAGAATAAATGGACACAAATCAGATATCAGGAATGGTAATATACAAAAACCTGTAGGAGAACATTTCAGTCTCCCTGGACACACAGTAGCAGATTTAAAGGTAGCCATCCTGCAACAAAAAAAACTCTTTTTTGCATACCTTTGTCCAATAGTTTTGTCGGAAGAGGCTTTTCCAAAATTTGTCCCGTCTACACAGGGCCAAATTTCAGAAAAAACTCTTTCAGAAGAGCCCTTCTTTCTTGTGGAATGAGGAACACAGGGCTTCCAAAAGAGCACATCTGCTCATCCACAAAATAAAGCAGAAGAGCAGACGCATTCCCTGGACATGGCAGAGTTTTTCTGGGATATCAGAGGTATCCCGGAAAAACTCCGTATTCTAGACGTAGCAAGAGAAAAGCCCTCTTATCTCTTCCTCTGTTGTAAAGGGCACCAACAATCTTGCTTTGTAGTTACCCATAATAGCTGACTGTTCGGACTTTTGAGAGTTTAACAGCATGTTAATGTAACCTTTTGTGGGTTTTTTATTAAGTCTGTGTTGGAAAAATATCTTGTTGGGCATTTAAAGTGAAAGGGGAGGATATTTGTAGCTCTAACAAATGCAGAATTGAATGCCAAGCCATATCTGTTCTTAGAAATATAATCAGGTGTGTTTGAACTCTTAATTCAGATTAAGAGTTGTGTTCCTTGAGAATTCAAACAAGGCAGGCGAGTTCTCAGGGGAATCTGTGGAACAGAAAAACAAAATCACCTTCCTCCTCACACCTTTAGAACTCTGACTCCTCTTCTCACAATTTCCCTGGCCCTTTGTGCTGAGCAAGAGAACCTTGGTTTTCCAGGGCCTCCTCACATATAGATAAATCACTCTGAGATAAACAGGGCTGAGAGGTTTCACAGTGGAGGTGAAAACTGGGCAGCTGGCTGTGTTGTTCTTCAGGCCTATGAGTAATATACAACATTTCCTGAGACTGACAAGAGAGCTCCCAACAAGAACTAACAAACTCTTTCCATGTACATGTGCAGGCATTGGAAGCTATGCAATGAGATAATGAAATAACTGATTTGTGTTCAGGCATGTGTTTCTCTCATGCTTTCATATACCTTGAGTAGACTCATTATCCAACTGGCCTGGCACCCTTTTGTTTTATATGAGTGTCTTTGCAAGTCCCTGTCCCACCTCTCATCCCCATCCCTAATATTGTATTTTACTTACCTCTCTTTCTGCCCTCTCCTTGCTTCCAGATCATTGCCGTGGTAATGGATCTGTTTACAGACCGGGACATCTTCCAGGATATTGTGGATGCAGCATACAAGCGCCGGATCCCAGTTTATATAATCCTGGATGAGGAGGGTGTGAAGTTCTTCCTGGAGATGTGCAAGTGTATGGATCTCACTAGCCTCCAGATCCAGGTAAGATACTGTCGTACAATGGAGGCCATGTCTACACTACCTGCTGTAATGCCACAGTGTAAAACTTCCCTTCATTGACAGAAGGGGATTTTTCTGTCAATATGGTTAAGTCCTTTTTTTCCTGAGGCAATAGCCAAGTTGACTGAAGAATTCTTCTTTCAACTTAGCCATGCAGCAGCAGCCTTCTAGAGCAGCTTGCAGAGCCTCCTTGGCCAGCCCTGCACCTAGGAGATGCAGGGACATGTTACTGCTTCCCGGGAGGTGCCTGAGGTGAGTCTGCACTTCAGAGAGCCTGCACCTCAAACCTCATCCTGCATCCAAGCCTGCCTGGGGTCTGCTAGACTTTTAGTGGTGCAGTCAGCAGACTGACCAGAGCTGACCTTTTTGACTGGGGGTTCAATTAAAAAACCAGATGCCTAGCAGCTAGGGACATTAAAACAGTTAACTGGTTAACTGGAGAGTAGTTAACCATTTTGACTCATTCCTGCCACCTGGCCCAGTCCTGCCATGACTGTCAGGTTCTGCTGCCCAGCCCACCAACTCTTCTGCGGCTGGGGCTGCTCCAGTCCAGCATGGCTGGCTACTGCTAGAGTTCGTTGCCAAGGGTCAGTTAACTAGTATGCACATCAGTACGCTTCGGCTGTGTCTAGACTGGCAAGTTTTTCCGCAAAATCATCTGCTTTTTCAGAAAAACTTGCCAGCTGTCTACACTGGCCGCTTGAATTTCCGGAAAAGCACTGACGATCTCATGTAAGATCGTCAGTGATTTTCCGTAAATACTATGCTGCTCCCGTTTGGGCAAAAGTCTTTTTCCGAAAGACTTTTGCGCAAAAGGGCCAGTGTAAACAGCACAGTAGTGTTTTCCGCAAAAAAGCCCCGATCGTGAAAATGGTGATCGGGGCTTTTTTGCAGAAAACCGCGTCTAGATTGGCCACAGACGCTTTTCCGCAAAAAGTGCTTTTGCGGAAAAGCATCCTGCCAATCTAGACGTGCTTTTCCGAAAATGCTTTTAACGGAAAAGTTTTCCGTTAAAAGCATTTTCGGAAAATCATGCCAGTGTAGACGTAGCCTTCATGTTTACTGGTTAACTATTTCACATCCCTACTGGCAAGCCTATATGCTAATTTTGTGACCCCAGTGTGTATGTTTTTTTCCTGGGAGAAGACATTGCATGGTAGGTATCCAGTTGTCTCTCCTAATGAGAGTGTGTACAGCACTTGACTCCAGGGTTTGTGAGTGGAGGTCACTTAATTATTGTGAACCATTGCTCAGGTCTGTACACACTGTGGATACGTCTATACTTGCAAAATCAGGAGTAATGTTAGTTCGAACCAAAGGGTTTGATTCGAACTAATGTGGCACAGAATGCACTTCCTGGTTCGAATCAGCTGGCGATTGGAATAGCACAAGGGCAAGATTATGCTAATGAAGCACGGGATATTTAAATCCCCGCTTCATTAGCAATTTTGGTTGGCTACATTTGCATCCCTATCTCAAGATAGGGAGCAAGTGTAGATGTACCCTAAGATAGTGTTAGTTTCAGTATGTTCATGTACCAGTGTCACAGAACTAGAATAAGGGTCTGAGTCTAGTCTACCTGCTGAAGATTAGTGTGTGCACAGTAGGAAGAGTTTCACATAAAAAGAGAGACGGGTCCCCTCCATGTATATATCATAACCCACTGTGAGGTCTACAGAGTGTAGCTTGGAGAGATTCTCTGAAGCCATGATTAGCCTGCTTTGTTTCCTAGCAGGAAATAACTGGTCATTGCTCATGGTGAAACCAGGTCTCCTGTGGTTGAAGTCATTGCAAAACAAGCACCTGTTTGTAGCTGGAATTCAGATACAAAGAATATGGTTCCTGAAGCCTAAGAGTGGTAGATAAAAACAAGGCTTCTGCAACCAGAGGTTTCCAAAATGGATGCAAACTGGAGGGTTGCTTCTAGCTGCGGTCTAGATTTGTCCTCTGCTTTCAAAAAGCGTTTAACTGATACACTCCCTTTTTATACTTAGCTTCCTGCTGCCATTGTGGGAGACTTCAGTACTTGAGTTCAGCTTTATTCTCCTATGAATAGGCTTCCCTGGCAGCCTGGCAATAAAGGCAGGCCTCTGTTAATCTCCTCGGAAAGAGAGTACAGGCAGTCCCCGGGTTACGTACAAGATAGGGACTGTAGTTTGTTCTTAAGTTGAATCTGTATGTAAGTCGGAACTGGCGTCCAGATTCAGCCGCTGCTGAAACTGACCGCCAGTTCTGACTTATCTACCTCCTGCAGTTGAGTCTGATCAACTCAGCATAGCTTTGTTTTATGTCATATAAAGGAACCTGAGTGATAAAATCAGGAACCAAACTGAATGATTTGGATCTCAGAAAACTGAATGTTTTCTCCCAGTACTGGACAAGGTGCTTTGGGCAAACTGAGCTGAAAAATTGTTGGAAGGAATCTCAACACTTGCACACCTATATTGAGAGCATTGTTCTAACATCGAAAAGGAGCAATGCCATTTTCAGCTATTCCTGAGTGATCTATGGACTGTACTGGGCCAAACCCAATTCCTTCCTCAGGGAAAAAAAAATCACATCACTGATCTGTAAAGTGTAAATTCCAATTAAAATGCAGAGTTATTTCTCATATGCTTGAAATATAAAAACTTCTTTGCATGGCTGTGATATACTCACAAGCTTCAAGATCAGAAGGGAACCTCATGATGATCTAGTCTGACCTCTTGTACATCACATGCCACAAAACTTCACCCACCCACTCCTGTAATAGACCTTTAACCTCTGGCTATGTTACTGAAGTCCACATATCTTGATTTAATAACTTGATGTGACAGAAAATCCACTCTTTACACTAGCTTAGACCTGCAAGTGACCCATGCCCCATGCTGCAAAGGATGGAGAAATGCCCCCAGGATCTCTGCCAAGTTGATCAGGGCAAAAATTCCTTCCAAATCACAATCAGTTAGACCCTGCGCTAAACCCGCCATGCAGACACCTAGGAAGGAATACAGGCAGTCCCCGAGTTACGCGGATCCGACTTATGTCGGATCCGCACTTACGAACGGGGCTTTCTCGCCCTGGAGCTTGCAGGTAGCAATCCGCCACCTCGACCTCTGGGGCGAGAAAGCCACGTTTGTAAGTGCGGATCCGACATAAGTCGGATCCGCGTAAGTCGGGGACTGCCTGTAGTTTTTACTTTCACCCAGCCAAATAGCAGGTAGCCATATCACCTTTTGCTGGGATCCCCTCTGATTTTATAGGCTAAGCAGGATCAAACTAGATCAATACTCGAATAAGAAATCTTCAAGGAACACCAAGGTTCTGCAAGAAGTGGTGGTATTGCTGACTGAATAGATGGCTCTTTTGCCAATGTTAACATTGAACTACAATCTTAGCATGGTAATGGGGATGCTCTGCTGCTGGAAATGCGACCTTCCAAGTGAGCAGTAACACCAAGATTCTGATTAGTTGCAATCATGAAATGATCCCATAGTAGGGCAGTAAATTCCTGTCTAATCAGTTAACAGGCTAAACATTATATTTAACCAATTAAGTGGGATCCCGCGGGCAAGCTTGATCCCATGGGCAGGGCCTGTTCTAGCCGGGCTAGAGGGCCCTGACTCCCGGCACACTGCTCTGCTCAGGTGAGGCCTACTGTGGGCTGGGATGCTCTGGCCAGGCTGGAGCGACCACCTCCACGGTGGACCTGACTAGGGCTGGAGGAGTCCATGGCAGGCTGGGGGTTGCTCCAGCCCCAGACACCAGGTCCGGTAAGGGTGATAATTACCAGTTAAATATTCACATCCCTATCCCACAGTACTCTGATTTTTTTTGAACTCTGATCAGCGCAATAGTCTGGACGCTCCCCCGGCCCACAAAAAA